TGGAATTATTATTATTATTATTATTATTATTATTATTATTATTATTAGTAGTAGTAGTAGTAGTAGTAGTAGTAGTATTATTATTAACATTATTATTTTAAACCAGCTTTTTGATAACTAGCTGTATTATGTTGAATGTCTTATTACCAGAGGCTGCTGGGGGCAAAGTTGTTCTTTCTTTTTGCACTTTCGCATTAACAACGTTTCCCTAACTTCCGGAGAAGAAATAAACTCAGTTCTTGTTTTTACTTTGTCTGAAAACCAGAAAAAAAAAAAAAAAAGCTTTTTATCTCTACACATGTGATTATGAAGCTGTTTGACATAAACTAATAAGCTTGAGAGCCCTGTTTGTGAACTATTTAACAGATAATAGACATACCTTCTTGTTAATAAACGTTATTAAATTAGAGTTGCGTTTTGGGAATACATCATTTGAATTTAACGAATGTATATATATGATTATTTTCGATGTAACAGCAGGTTAAGTCACACGTTTAGACTACTGCTTTTCTAGCTAAAGGTTTAGGAATGACCACATACAATAAATATGAGGTAATTTAATGTATTTAAATGGTCAAACAAACTTCCATGCGTTTATGTTTTCTTGTAAAATATCTATATAAGCTTAATTAATCATTTAATTTAAATTACAACTATGCAGAATGTGTAGTCATGTTTATGGAGTTTGGGTAATTAACAAAGATTTAACAAGTAAATTTTGTTTCACAGTTTCAAAATTCAATTCATTTGTTTTAGATAATTAAAATAAAGTTTTAACAACCAAAATGTTACAGAAAACATTACTGACTTATTTACAACTGCAGTGCCCTGTATACATCAGCATTATAACAAATAATATAACATTTGGAGTAGTATCCTTTAAATAAAATATAGTCATTCTAAATCTTTCAAACCAACACTGTTCCAATTCACTTTTTGTTGTTTACTTTTCTAAAGGTTTTTCTGATGACACTGGGCTTGAATTATGTAAAACGTTTCATAAATGTCTCACACAGTGTCTTACAAACCTTGGTCTCTTGTTTACTTTTATTTTCAGCCATACAAAATCAACCGGTGAAAGAAAAATTCATCCCAAATTAACAATGTAGGATTGTAAGAAGGATTTTGGGGCTTAATAGCATAATGCCTGAGGCAAAGAGATCTCATGCTCAGCATCCTGATCAGATGACTGTGGAAATAAATGAACAGATTAAAACTGATGACTTTCCACTTGTTTTATTCTTGTTCTAATAATACGATGAATTACGAGCAACATATTCGTTTGGTCAGAAAATGTTTTGTTCTTATTGTTGTCAGGGAGGGTGGATCTTGATGGAGGACTCAGGCGCGGAGATGCAGAAAACAGGGTTTATTGTAACAAAAACAGGTTCAAAAACAGGGCTGTGGCAAAACTATGAGCAAAGTAACAAAGCAAGGTTAACAAAACTGTGGCAAAGTATCAAAACAAGACTGTGGCAAAAGTACAAACGAGATTAACATGGCAGTGGTCAAAACAAGGCTATGGCAAAGTAACAAAATAAAGATTAACAAAACTGTGGCAAGGCTGTGGCAAAACATGGCTATGGGAAATAATCAAAACCTTACGTGGCGAGGGGTGACGAAAGACGAAAGACGAAAACTCACTGGCCCAGGACATGGGAAACGAGGACTATTTAAACACATGAGGGAGGGGAACCCCAGGTGAACACAATAGGTAATCAACACATGACAACACACCAGACATTCCCCCAGACGTGACAATTGTGAGAAAAAATGTGCTTAAATGGAAGATTTAGATTTTTGTTAGCTTCTCCAAATCCAAAAACAACTGGAGAAAAGCAACTAATGTTTGATATTGACCCAGTTTACACAGAACAAATGATGAATTGAGCATGTATGATACAATTTGAAGTTTATATTAGAGAAAGTACGAACATATCTGAGAAAAACACCTCTACCAATGTCCAGAAAACGGCTATTTACAAGACTTCTGTGTCCAGTTTCTGCAGGAATGAATTGATTGGACAATTGTTGTAGAGTTTTAAAAAAATGCGCAACGAATAACTTGTTCTGTGTAAACTGGGTCAATATCAAGCATTATTTGCTTTTTGTCACTTCTGGGGGAATTTCTGGTGTGTTGTCATGTCTTGATTACCTATTGTGTTCACCTGGGGTTCCCCCCCCCCTCATGTGTTTAAATAGTCCTCGTTTCCCATGTCCTGTGCCAGTGTGTGTTTGTGAGTTCTTGTGAGTTTTTCGTCACCCCTCGCCACAAAAGTTTTTGATTTTTGCACCTTTGCCATAGCCTTGTTTACTCCTTGATATTTTGCCACAGTCTAGCTTTTCGTGCCATAGCCTTGTTTTTGTCTCAGCCACACCATGCCATAGTCTTGTTAACTTTATTTAGGATTTTGCCATAGTCTTGTT